ATGTGAACCATCATTGTTATCAAGTTTAACTATCTTCGGAGTTGTACAGCCCCATTGCGATTGTGAACTAGATAGTTGTGCATATGCAATTGGGTTTTCTTCGTTAGACAATCGAAATGTTGAAACTATTATACCAGGTACAAGCGGTTCATTTTTTGGCTTCGATGCAATCAAACCCAGTTCTTTATTTGTAGTTGAGAATACCAGTTGAACTTTATCTTTCGCTTCAAGTTTAACAACCGTTTGACTGACTAGGACTGCTGTATTACCATTGCGAATAGTTTTAATTGTGTTACTGTTTGCTATGTCTTTTTCATTAAGTCGCATCCATAAATGAACTTCACCTGATGCATCAGTATCTTTGGCGCTTCCGACTTGAGCACAAGCTATCAGAAAATAAATACCTGCTTCATTATACTTGATGGTTCCATGTTTTTCAGCTGCTGTTATGTCTAGTTTATTGACGGCACTAGAACCATCCATTACAACCACGTCAGAATTCGAGTTACCTAATTGAGTTTTTGAGCTGAATAGTTGTGCATAAGGAATTGTGTTAGTACCGCCGCTGACTTGCAAAGTCGATATTATAATACTGGGAACCAATGGTTCGTTTTCTGGTTGTGTAGTAATTAAACCGAGAGAGGTACATTCATTAATTGTGAAGGCTGAGTACACGAATGCGAATATACAATCGACAGGAGTTTGAAAAACTGTTGCATAGACAAGAACCGATGTACTTCCATATTCGACCGATTGTATACTATTTGAGTCAGGCTCATTTTCATTACGTTTTTGCATCCACATATGAATATCCCCGTTAGCAACTCTGCGTGGACTACCAATCTGAGCAGCGAATATACTGAAATAAACACCAGCCTTTTTGGCTTCAAATGTGCCATTGTGGTATGCAGTGAAATCATTTGATCCATCATTCTTATTGTATGTTGCCAATTTTCCTTTTGAATCACCTATTTGGTTCTTTGAACTTGATCGTTGAAAGTACGCGACGTCATCGTTTCTTTCATGATTAGCTTCAATGGTTAATAACTCGATGCTAAGAACGAATAATACCAATATTATATTTAATATTTGATGTTGTTTTTTCATGTTAATCAGTCAGGTGCTGATAATTGTTTTTCTTTTCTCAAAAATTTCCTCACGAAATAGTTACGTTAAGATGAATTATCTAAAAAACAAAAAAAAAATTGAAACATAAAATATACTTTACATGAATGAGAGTGTCGCTGTAGGGGAGGATGTGCGTGTAGAAATTAAAGAATAATCACATCCACATCCGCCTTCAAGACAGTCTGTCAAGATGCCAAGGATCTTTCATAGTTCACTAGGGTCTACCAAGGTTTGCCAGAATCTGTGAGTGTTTACCACGAACCCAAGGATCTGTCAGGTTCTTATTAGGGACCACAACGTTTATCAAAGATTATTAGAGACCTCAGGCCTATTAGGGTTTATTATACATCTCAGAGTGTACCAAGGTTTGCCAGGATCCTCAGGGTCTACAAGAGTCCTGAGAGTCCATCAGGATTTATAAGAGTCTCCAGAGCACATCAGGGTTTATGAGAGCCCTCAGTATCTATCGTGGTTTATTAGATACCCCAGGGCCTATTAGAGTTTATGAGAAACCACAGGGTCTAACAGAGTTTATTAAAGACATCAATCCCAATAGGTTTATAAGAGTCCTCAGAGCCTAGTAGGGTTTATAAGATACCGCACAATCTATTAGGGTTTATTCGAGACCTCAGAGCATATTAAAGTTTATGAGAGACCTCAGGGTCTATCAGAGTCTGTGATGGTTTATGTGAGACCTCAGAACGTATTAGAATTTATAAGAGACCTCAGGGCCTATCAGAGTTTACCAGGGGCTCAAAAGCCTATCAGGGTTTATCAGAAACCCTAGGGCCTATCGGAGTTTATTTGAGATCTTAGAGTTTACCAGAAACCCAAGGATCTATCAGGGTTTATCAGGAATCCAAGGACCTATCAGGGTCTACCAGGAAGCCAAGGACCTATCAACGTTTACGAAGGACCTCAGAGTCTATCAGGATTTGTGAAAAATCTCAGAGCCTATATGAGCTTACGAGGACATAAGAGCCTATCAGGACTTACCAGAGACACAAGAGCTTATCAGGGCGTACGAGGGACCTCAGTGTCTATTAGCGCTCTTGAAAGACCTCAAGACCTGCCATGCCTTAACAGGAACCGCTAGTCCTATCAGTTTCCAAGGGGCCACAGGGCCTGTTAGGGTTTAGGAGAAATCTCAAGACGTATCTGGGCTTACGAGAACTCAAAGACCTATCAGGGTTTACGAGAGGCCTTAGATCCTGTCAGGGTTTGCCAGGGACACAAGAATCCATTAGGGTTTACCAGGAACCCCAGAGCTTATCAGAGCTCACGAGGGATGCAAGGGACTATTAGATTTTAGTAGGATGTGTTCAGATTTGCGAGGGTCTTGACTTGGTATCTATCTTTCCACCTCCACCCTCACTCAGAGCTATGCACTGTATATATCTGTCGATGTATGGTTTTGTCTCGGTCCTCAATCTTGAGGGTGTGGATGTAGTTGTGAATATAATATAAATATATAATACCCACACTCTCAAGACGGGTTATACTTTCATTAATAAAATATATATTCTGGTATCAGAAGAAACTCTTTTCAAATAAGATTGTTTGAAAAAGATGAAATAATCACATGCAAACTCATCGATATCCAATCTCATATGTGAGTTTAACGATGATCAGCTCGTTTCTATAGAATCCTATGGGAATTCGTTACGAATTATCCGACACAAGGGTCGATAATTAATGAAAGATGTGCCCACTTACATTAATCAAAATTTTGATACCATAACGTTGTAAGAAAAAAAGAAGTTAAAACACACGAATTTAAGTAGAAATGAAACTTACTGCAAAGGATTGTTTTGAATACAAATGAAAAAAAACCCACGACTGTTTACTTGAAATAAAAAGAACGCTTATCTTACTTGAGAATAATATGATGAAAAAGAATTCTTGATATTTTTTATCAAAAAGCTCACCTTTAAATAGGACTTGGCGAAGGATCGTTTAATAGCTGCAATAGATAAGGAGAAGAAGGCAATTTTAGAGTAAAATTGATGATTATGCAGAAAAGCACACAATTTATCACATGATATTATTTTCATGTGTTATCATCATTTTTATCATCTTTTCTATATGTATATACACAACCCTCTTCTCACTTCGAACGCTGCAGTTTTATGATTGTTGATATAATGGCCCTTGAAAACTGTTAACAAAATTCGTATACATTGGTTATTGTTTCATTTTCGTCACAATGACCAAAATATATTTTTAGAGTATCACATGATTCCAAGTTAAGAGCAAACAGACAAATGCACAATAACACATCATATGATGTTGAGAGCAAATATATACAAAGAGATCTTTGCAATAGATAAGAATAAGAAAACAAAAAAAAGTCCAAAGTATTGTGCTTGATGAAATTATTGGGTACAGTTTTAAAAAAAAATTGTACGACACTAAAACAGATTCTTTCCATGGATATAAACTTCAACAATTTTTTGGCTCTGTACAAAAGAGAATTTGTAGCCAATAAGCTTTGAGTAACCGCTATAAAGCTTCGATGAAAGTAATCTTGTCTCTAACCTTTCGGTACTCGTCGAAAAACATTCTGCACATAAGGTTTTGTTCTGATTAATTTTGGCATGCATAGAGCTTTTATTGCTTCAAAAGATGCAGTTTACACTGTCTCAACATTTCAATTGGTTTATTCTACTCATAATAGAGGAATCCCCGAAAAATAAAATTTATTCCGATTTGCTTTTCTATATATGTTAAAAACACCTTTAGCTCCTTTTAGTTCCTTTCAGTGCCTTTAGCTCCTTTCAGTCCCTTTAGATCCTTTTAATCCCTTGAGGATGTGGGTGAGATAAATAAGATACATCCACACCCACACCCAACCATCAGTAAAAAAAATTAAAAATCGAGGATTTTTAGTAATTACCAGTAGATTTCATTACAGGAAACCATTATTTTCTAGGAATATTCATTTCTTTTCATAGAAAAATGATTAACTTGAAAAAGTAACGATTTTTTTATACAGTATGATTAAGAACCTGCGAAGTCTGCTGATAAATTTTCAACAATTTTCAAACTATTGGTTTCAGTCAAACGATTTATATCTATTCATTCAGGCGACTCAAAAGGCAAAGCACAAGTTAGAAGTTCACAATATCTGATAGTTTATTTTTGGATTAACAATATTTATATTTACTCGTCTGGTTATATACTAATATATAATCAGAATTCGCTGTATGATTGAATTCAATATTAGATATGTCAAAAAAAGAATATTTCAAGATTTATTACAGATTGTTTAATTCATATTATGATATTTTTAAAAATAAATTATCTTTCATCTTTTTTCAGTCGTTTGAATTTATGAATAAGCATATGAATATTTATTATGTACTCAGATTCAATTATTGTAAATTGACAACAAACAGAGTATATCAGAAAATAATCAATTTTTTGTTCAATAATTATATTAGTCTATACGATATAGACTTTAAACAAGTTATTCATAAATCTTTCCTAGTAGAAACTGATAATAAGCTATTCCTATGTGTATCGATCATTCCAATAATTTCATCATAGATATTGCTATGATCAAAGTTCAAGTTGTATGTATCCATAATAATTTCTAAATGAAGTATTGAATGTCATTAAAACCTTCTAACTTCATTCTATTATTTGATAGAAGTACATATAATTAAATTCTAACATAACCATTTCTTCAAGCTTTTATTCCGGAAATAAAATAAATATATATTAATTTAAAATAGATGAAGATGGAAAATTAAGTTAATATTAATAAAAAAAACAACAACAGAAGAATAGATTAAAAGAGCAAATATATTACTAAAAACAGATAAACATCAAAATCTACGACATTGAAATGATATTGTAATGTCTTTTTTTTATAAAGTGATAGATACCAACGTTGGTGTTGGTAAATATGCCTTATTGACATAGGGAAATGATTCAAATTCGCTTTGATCTATGGCCATAATCAGTTCTTTATCAGGTGGTGTAAATTGAAAAGGTTCACCAGTAAATTGTCCATCAAAATTTGATGTATCATGATAACTTGCCTATAATAAAGAACAACACTTTATTTATTAAAAATATCTTTCCAATGTTTTAGATACGTGACTATTTTAGAAATCTAAAAAAATCGAATTCAATAATCTTCTTATGATGATCTATTCATAGATCGTTAGGCGAAATTTTTGTGAACCTTCGTAAACCATTACAAAATGAGTGGCTGTAGTCTATTCTCAAACTTCAATCATTGGCATCAGTGATCAGTACAGTCTGTATATATATATCGATGAAAATAAATTGCTAACAGTGTTCTCCTGAAAGTATATTTGTCCATGTCATAAATTATTTAAAATAACGTGGATGTTACAAAGTTTTTGAAAATACATATATCATTATCAATAGCAAATGAACATAACATGAAAACGTAAACATTACATAAGCAACATGAAAATCTATTAACGCAAAAATAAATAAATAAATAAATAAATAAATAAATACTGACAAAATTTGAACATGAATTTAAAAAAAAAGAAAGAAAACTACCAAACAAAAAGCTAAGACATGCAAATATTGAACTACTGAGAACAAAAGAATTAACATAAATAGAAATTTCGTTTTTATTTGTTTGAAAATTGCTCATTTGTTTTTGTTTTTAGTAATAATTATTCATTCGCAAAAAAAATAATAATAATAAAGTCAACGGGTTTATACTGTAGAGAAAAGAAAAACATACGCGTACATACACAATTAGCAGACAAAAGAAGAAAACATATGTTCACTAATTCATATAATTTATGTTTTTTTTTGTAAGTTATCTAATAAAATGTGGATTATAACAAGAAAAATGTTGAAAAGTATCTTTATCAATTGAATCAAGAACAAGTTTATCACATGCTGTTTTTTTAAACGGACAATTTGTAAAGCTTTTATCGAAATTTTCCGCTTGACGAGCATCTTTCTAAAAACAAGACAATACAAAACATAATACGAATACAACTAAAGGTTAAAAAATTTGTGAAGATTTAAACTAATATATATATAAACTACTTTTATTATATACAGGAATACATACTATTTTTGGTTTGAAGGGTGGTTGTACTTCACGTGCTTCTATTTTTTGCCAATCAATACGACGAAAAAATGTATGCTCCTTTATTTCACGTTCACCATTTGCTGCATGACACCCAAGACGTTTCTGAGGATTTTTTGTCATTAACTAAAAATAGAAATTTGTGAAAACACTATCTTCGTTCCAAATTCTGATAATAATATCAATCTGATTATAACACTAAATAATGTTATTTGATATATGATGTATGAGACATTATTAAGATTAATCACAGTCGTAGATAAGTATTTGCAACCAATCATATTACTCAAATGTTTTACCATAGAACATTCTCTACATACAAGTGTATATAATCGAAAACTCTATTGAAAGTATTGTAACATACAATAAATATCACTTTTTCGTAGTTTTATAGATCGGCCAAATAGGCATACTTCACATTGTAATTATGATTTCATTAAGATGAAAATTTAGCTTTAGAAATATATTGATAAGTATCTACTCGTTCGAATACATCTTGACAATTATCTGTCCTAAGGAACAGAACTAGAATTGGTATAAATATGTATTCTAAGTCAACTAATCTTATCCTGTTAATTTTTCTGCTATTTTTGTATATACATATATACATTTATCAACATCTGCTAGGTCTTTATTATATCTCGCATAGAATACAAAAGAAAGCACTTAATGATAGTTGACAACAACAATTATCACTATCTAAATATAAAAATGGATACTGAAAACGCAATCGAACATCATATATCTTCTATTTTTACCCTTACAATAAATATATCATAAAAAATTTTGTTTTTTCTAAAATAATTACATACCCCTTTACAAAAATTTGTAGCTTCGAATGACATTGATTTTGGATAGGATACACTACGATCTGTAATAGCATTAAAAAGTTCGTCTTCATCTTCACCATCAAATGGTGGTTGTCCAGCAAGCATTTCAAAAAGTAATACACCATAAGCCCACCAATCAACACTTTTACCATATTTTTGATATAAAATAATTTCGGGAGCAATATAATCTAAAAATAAAACTTTCCTATTTGGAATTGAAGTAGAAAAAGGATGAATTTTCTAACCTGGTGTTCCACAAAAAGTTGATGTTTTAACTTCATTAATAATTCCATCTTTACACATTCCAAAACTATAAAAATATTTATAAATTTATCGAATTTTTTATTTTTCTTACTCAGCTATTTTAATATGTCCTTCTTTATCCAATAGAACATTATCTAATTTTAAATCTCTAAACATAAAAAACCAATATGAACCATTCTCTATTCATTCATTGATAATTTTACCTATAAATAATTCCTTTACTATGTAAATAAAATAGACCAATTGCAATTTCAGCTGCATAAAAACTAAAAAAAAATGATTATATAAATCAGAACAATACTCTTCTAATTGATGATTTACCAAGCAACTGGTTCTTTAAATTTTCCTTCATGTTGTATACGATACATCAGATCACCACCATTAACAAATTCCATAACAAAAAATAATCGATCCTAATGAAATAAATTAGAAATCGGTTATGTCTTCTTTTCTACATGCAAATATTTACTTCTGATTGAAAACAAGAATGAAGTTGAACAAGAAATCTTGGTTTATCATGTAATAATAAAACACGTTTTTCAATTAAAACACATTCGACATCATCATCTTGTACGATAATATCTTTTTTTAATATTTTTATTGCATATAATTCATCTATTACTCCTTTGCGTTCAGCAAGCACGACCTTAATAAATATTTCAATAGATTTATTATAAGAAACATATTGAATTTCGCTGCTGTTTTGTTTTACTTACTTTACCAAATGAACCTTTACCAAGTACTTTGATGAAATGAAAATCTGTTTCTTTAATTGATTCTGTATTCGATGATGAACGTATTACTGATTCTTTACCACCAGCTATTGCTAAATTATCCAATCCTGTTGGTAAAGTTTGTGTTGATATACGAGTCTAAAATAATAATACATAAATTATTATTTTTGTAGAATAATAATTAATCAACATACTTCAATAGATGATTTCATTCTGAGAAAATCTTCTTCACTCGTTACTGGTACAGCATAAAAATATCCTTCTTCTTGACTTAATAATTTAAACCAACCTTCAACTGATTCTCTCAATAACTCCGCAACACCTTTTAATTTTTAATTCAAAAAATTAAAAGAAAAAACAAAACGTTTTTTTACCAAATGAAAGTGAACCCATAAAATCATTTCTCGATGTTCGATCCCAATCCCAAACAGCAATCAATAATCGTTTATCTTTATCATCATCAGTTAAATCACTAGAAAGAAAATTTTTGTTTTTGTTTAATTCTATTTTATAACATCATACATAGTAAATGTATCATTCCATATAGGATTTAATGTTTCACATATTCGTTTTGTTTTATATATACTTCGTATTTGTCTTATATTTACACCTGGTGTAGTTGGTATTAATTTAATTTTAACATAAGGATCACTTAAACCATTTGGATCCATTGGAATTAAATTTCTCGCTTCAGCTATTTCAATTCGTAATTTATTTCCTTGTTCATGTTTCACACTAATACGTAATCGACCTCGACGTTCTGTATGATCAAGACCACATAACTCTGGTACAAATGTTTGACAATTCTTATGAACATTCATATCACAGCATTGACATTTAAGACCTTGATGTATGATGCCATATAAAAGAGATCCACAATGATCACAGAATGTTGGTGAAGTATACGTATGTACTTGAAATTTATGATTATTTCGTGGAGCCTAAGTTTTTCAGAAAAAATGATTTTTTAAGAAAAAAAAGATATTTTCAGAAATCTTACATCCGAATCCGCTCCTCTATCAACACCAGGACAAGCAAAACTAATAAATTCATGACAACGCTTGTGAACAACAAGTGAACAAACTAAATAAATAAATAAAATTTTGATCGATTGAAATTATTATTCAAATAGAGCAAAATCTATAGGGTAACAAAATTTGCCCTATGTTTCACGAAGCTTTTACGCTAAAATTAATTAAGGTTATGAACTATAAATCAGCATGAGCACTTAAAACAATTGCTCGAAAAGTTCTTTTTTTTCTGATTAGTATGAACTTATATTTAACTATCATATCTTTAGGGAAATCTCTCATCAACTATAAGATTAAACATGAGTTAAAAGACAACTGTTAATATCCTCTAGGCTATATCGTGATTAAAATCGGAAGTAGTCTTCATGATATCTTTGACATGTTGTCATGACATGCATGCTATACTCGGAAAAATTGACAAGAATATCAATAGATATATTATATTCAAAACAAAAACAGATTTTTTTAAAGCATTTATGGTATTCGATATTCAACCGAATAAAACTATTTTTATAGTTTATAATATTAATAAACCATATGTTTCATTATATTCTCGATCATGATGAAATTAAACATCTGCTATCAATTAACATAGTTAAATATCAAATTTTCTCTATTATATTAATCTCAATATTTGTCAGGAAATATTACGTTTATTTGAATAGCATTTTTTTCCCCGATCCAACTTAATAAAATATTTATACTGAAAATAAAAGTGTGTGTGTATGTTTTTCTTCTTTGAAAGATGAATATAGCAACTTTTTAGAATATTACTTACTTTGACATTGAAATCCCTGTTTACCAAAACCCCTTAAAAAAAGAGAAAGTATATTATTAAACAAAAAACAATAGATATATTTATTACCATATAAAATCTCGACAATGAGAACAAAATGTTGGTGTTTTAAAAAATCTTGGAATAAATTGATGATTTTTAACGGTAAAAATATTTTTTTGTCGTAGAGCACCACGTCGTTCAATACCTTGTGGTCTTTCAACAAATGGAGTTGATTCTCTTCGTACTATCGGATTAGGTTCCGATGGTGTACGTTTCGGTTCAGATGGCGTACGTTTTGGTTCTGTCATATTTAATGATGATAATGTAAGAATTTGACTAGTTGTATCGTTCTGACGAACAAAACCTATTGCTTGGACAACAGCAGCACACGTTGGTGCTATAGACACATAATAAAAAAAAGATAGATTAGTATTCAGAAATTGCGATGCAAAAACAAAACATCGAGCAATAGTAATAATAACGAATCGAGAATATGACGACTATCTTTCTCTTCCCTTTTTTTTTCTTCTTCTTTCCTATTTTTCTTGTTGCTCTGTATATACATTCTGTTATTGATATGACATCATCACAAGCCACATAATAATAGGCAACTTTGTTTTCTAGTTCGAGCTAATATACACATCAACCTTTACTTATCAAACAGTATATGATATAACTAGGAAAATAAACGGATTTGTTTTTTTGATTATAAATTGATCGTACCTAGATTACTTAAGATGGGAGTAATTATGAATCTTTTTTTTTATTTATTACTATTCATCATTGTTGTTAAGAGTATGGAGAAATAGAGGATTTTATTAATATACAAACTTGTTCTATTCCGCTTGAAGAGATTTGAAGTAATAATATATAATAATAAAAAAAGAAACTATTACTTTTGAATGAATCTTGCTCGTTGAATGTCTAAGTGTGAAACATACTGACGCAATCAATCTAATTTATTAACTAGAAGAAAAAGTTTTTTTTGTAGATGTAGTTTTACATCACGAGCAATGAAAAAACATGACTTTATCAGTATTTTTAATATTTGTTGAGTTAAAAACATAGAAAAAAAACACTGATAAACTAATATACTCTTTTTCTATTTATTGTATATAACCATTGACAAACTACACGATAAAATCTTCTTAGAATTCTATACTTTATTCATTTTGACAGATGTGAAATATAACTATAATTTATAAACTAGAAAATAAACAGAAGAAAATGTGTATATTATGAATTATAATAGTACACGAGAATAGAAACAATTCACTTTAGATCTTAATAGAATTGATATAATTTCGTTTAGTCTTTTGACATGTAAAACAAGCAAAGATTACATAAGTATTGACAAATTTTCTTATCATTCTTCATCGAAGAAAAGCAAAACGTAAATAAATCAATTATGTTCTCTAGGGTGGAATGAAAGAGAGTATTTACGTAATGGTCACTTAAATCAAATTCAATGCAATAGATATCTTATTAAGAAAACTAAAACAAAAGTTATTTTAGTTAATATTTTATTTATTGCTATGTAAATTTAAAAAAATTCAAACTAAAATCTATTTCGGAGATATGTATAATAGCAATTTCCTTTGTATTTATCAAGCGGAAGGTCTTATGTCATATATCGCTTCGTCAATTTGATAACTAGACATACACTCAAACTTAATAACTTATTTGAATATTTCATATTTATCGTATTGACTATGAACTATACCAATAACCTGTCGAGACAAATGAAGAATGATCAAATATACAGGAATCACACAAATGTTTGACTTAACTGACTTTCAAAAGATTGTAGCACGTAGTCTAACAACGCTATTATAAATAATAATCTGCTCGTATTTCCTGGTATCATTTTTTTATTTTAATTTTCTACCAATGGGAAGAATATTGTATTGCGTGAATGTACATCTAGTTAGAATATCTTAATCATGGGTTGTTTTTTTCTTCTTACAGTTGAACATCAACAGTAATAATACCTGTACGTGCCATTCCTTCGACGAGTGAACGTCTTTGTTGTTGTTGTGGAGGAGAAGCTGCATTTGCTTTATTACTATTGGGATCCATTATCAAAAAAAGAAATGTTGGAAAAGAATAATTTGTTTGTATACTTTAACTGTAACTAGTAGTATAGTTGCCCATCAATCTATATCTCTAGCTCAAATTCTCTTATTCTCTCTTCGTTGTCGCTTGTCCGTCCCTCGTACATTTCAATTATAACATCAATAAATAATGCGACGAGTCGTCGACACACACAAAACATATATATATATATATATGTCGAAGCCAAATATAAAACAACAACAGTAGAAACAAAACTTTTTTTTTTAGCGTTCGATGAAAATATATAGACAGATAAACTCAATGAGACAAGAACGATGAGAATTAGAAGCGCTGATCGCCAATTGTCATTACATCTTTCGTCTTGTACAATTTTATTCTTCTCCAAAGAAAAAAAATATGGAACGGAAGAAGAACAAAAAAGAAATGTTACAAGAAAAGAAGAACAACGATATGAATGATGTCATCATTATATAGTATAAATCATCATATCAATAGTCATATAAAAGTTTTCTTTTCTCGTTCCAACTTGACTTTCTCCATTCCTCTTTTTTATTTGTCTGATTATTCTTCAGTCGAGTGCTATCATCTAATAAATGTATTGTGTAACTGCTAAAAAGAATTTTGTTAGTAAAAATAACAATTGTCATATATTGAAAAGAAACAAAAATCTTTTATCTATATTTTACTAACATACACGCAATATATCATGTGAATAGTGCAAATTAAACCAAAACAATGTGTGTCTCTCTAGAGTATTCAAACTCATATAAAATCTAATCTGCTTCGGAATAATCATATGGATGTTTACTTGATATTTTCATTAGGATTATTATCTATCAAAGGAAACAAATAGAAAATCATTAACGCATTTATAAAAACACCAACAGTGAACAGTTGGAAAGGTTCACTATAATGATATCTATGTAGTTTTATCAGTTTAATACATCATTAATCGTTTACTATATGAAAAATTTCGAGAGTAATTATTACTGCAAAAACAGTTTCATTTGAAATCAATAAATATTTTAATTATAAGAATAACAGATAAAATATACGCATGAATAGTATGTAATAAGATCTCGCATATGTACCATCATTATTCTATCACAATACTGTTATTTTAGATCTCTTTTAGTATAATATGTAATCAAAGACGACGGAAAATAGTTCTAAAATCAATATAATAAAACTAACAAACATATGAGACTATGCAATTTAATTATGTAAAAAGAGTAAATTTATTAAAGGTTACTATAGTCTGTGAAAATTATCTTGAAATCGGACATACATGAGAATTTTAAGAAAATAATCATGTTCTATTTGACATACAAACGTGAGTATAGACGACTAGATCTTATTTCATCCATTCATGTAATGTCACATTTTGTTTCAGTTTAATCGTCTTCTAATATTATTTAGAAGAATGTCGAAACCTGACAAGACATGCATATGACATTTATCTATCGAATAATAAAAAGTTTATTATATGACTTTCAACGATATTAAATTTTCATATATATATATATTTATGTCAATACTAAATTAGAGTGATCAATTTTGTTGTGAGTATTGTGACAATAAAAGATAAAAAAAAGGAAAAAGGAAAAAGAAAGAAAGAGAACAATCAAAACGCCATGACATGCATTATGCACGTACGTCGATTTGTTCTGTTCTTCTAGCATTCATATAATCCGGTTAAAACGGAACTATCTATCTTTCTTTCTTTCTTTACAAAGAAACAGAGAGAATAGTAAAGCTGCTTATTATTACTACTACTTGTATTATTGCTGAAACAATTCTTATCTTTTCAGTATGTCGAAAGCCCTTAACCAACTGCTTTCATCTCTTACAAAGTTCTAAATGCATCACAGCAATAACATCAAGACTATTCATATACATTTAGAGTATTCCTTGAATACATACAAGGGCATTTTAACAAGACAAGAATGTTAATACACACACACATATATAAATATGTTTTCTGCTCAAATAAATTGTATTAAGAATGCATATGCACAATGAATTAATATTAACCTTAATCGTAAGCATGATCTCTTATCCAAAATATAAATAATAGATCATCAAAGATAGATTTAAAAACAAAACGAAGAATTATCACCATCTGTCTAATAATTACTTAAGCATGACTTACTTGAAAATAATAGATTAATAATCAAAGACAAACATAATATAATTGTAATGAATTTGATATATATGATAATCTAGAATACATATAAAATATTTTTTTATGTGAATACTAAAGAACAAAAAAAAGAAATTATTTTAGTTAATAAAATCAAAACAAAAGACATCAAAGTTAGGAAGAAAACATTATAATATTTTACTTTCTTATCACAATCATTGTTATTGTATCAAGTAGAGTCATTAAATAGATTGAACGAATGAATGAAAAAAAGAAGACAAAAAGAAAGCCAACGGAAATAACATCAGACAATACTTCATTTTATTAAGTTATTATTCTTTTTTCTCTTTCTTACTCTATCAAAGCTGAACATTACTATAATTAGTAATATATATATATATAACAAACCATCAATCTAAAAAAAAATGCATAGTTGAACATGTCATTACTTCATATTAGATTGAATAACACATATATATACTTACAGAAATGTGAGAATCTGGTAACTATAACTGAATTTTATTGTTTATGAATTCAAGAATATCAAGCTTAATGTTATTGATTAACAATCTTCTTATACTATAAGTAAAAAAAAATCATGTGATAATCGATCATTGATAAGTATTGTATCACTCTCTCATTTCCGTCCACTTTTGTCATCTATTGTTATCGCTACTGAGAGATCAGCATCTTTTACTATTACATCGCTTGATTGATCTATTCAGAATCATCTGAAGTTTTCTTTTCTCTTTTCTCTACTACACACACAAAAAAAAAAGATCTTACCATAGAAATTACTCATTCATATCTTACGAGTATTTACTTATTTACGTTTTTTTTTCTGTCTAGTATGCACTATCTTAATTTATGACTGTTACGTACAATAACAGTGATGGAAAGTATGACAGCCTAACACTATGATTTGTCTTTTCTCTTTATTCTATGTTTGTCGATAGTGTGCTGTCTCTCTCTCTCTCTCTCCCTTCTGCTAAATATACTGCTTACGTCAATATAGACAAGAAAAAAAAAGCAAAACCGGTAAAGTAAAAGTAAGATCGATAAGAAGCAGCAGAATGCCAACATGTTATACAGTGTCATATGCTCCCCCATCACGCACATATTTTCTCAAGGCAAAATATGATTCATTGTGTTATAAAATAAAATAAAAAAGGAAATTATATTATCTTTTAACTTATTCTATAGACATTTATGAGTTATATAGAAGAATTTAGGATGGACTTTGGAATAAATTCTATTTGATGTTGACCGGATGTACAGTCTGTCATCAACATATTGCTAATGTTCTCGTACTATTACGTGCATTTTTACTAAGTCGATCAAATTAATCCTAACATAAATACTAGATAGGAGACAAGAATGTATCTATGCTATATATCGAGATAGATTAACTTGCACGATTTATTGAATATATATATTGAAATTTAATTATTATTCTTACTATTCATATAAGAATTGTTGTTGATGAACTCAGTTAAGATTTATGATCGACTCTATTACATAGTACGAGTTGATGAATGAAAGTTAGATTAGAATAGAATACTTCTTCCGTTATAAAAACGATTTCTTAATTTAACTCTGATGTGTGAACCGGTTATTACAATAGAAACTATCAGTTTCCAATACTATATGAAATATATGAGCCTACTATTGTATTTCCATATGTTTTTTTTTGACTACGTATCAATATTAGATTAATTTTGCGATATATGTAGTGTCATGTTAAATAAATGAAGACAAGACAATAGCTTTTTTTTCATCATATCTATTAAAAGAAATATATGGTATTTACGTCAAGAAGTCATGAAAACAACAAAGAGTGCATGTTTTCGATCGTGCATATGTTATCAATTATGAAAAAATAAATTACAAAAGTTATGAATTGTTTTATACATACTCAAAAAGAATAATTCATAATCAATTAATTATAAACCTTGGATTATTTATGATTTTATATTATTCAGAAATATACAATATTGATTTTTGTGTAAATTATCTAAAGAAATAAAAAAAATGAATTCATTTTACATCAAAGTATTTTTAGAAAATAAAATAATTTTTTTTTCTAAAGGAAGCGTCTTTCTTCTATACTGATGAAAAATAATAATATTTACAAGTAGAGGAAGTACAATATTTTTCTTTTAATTTATTATGTAGTAAAGCATAAATAATCTTATCTTATTTAAATATGTTAAAAATTAATTTATAGAGAATAGAAGAAAAGTCAAGAATACATTTCTCTGTAAATCCTAGTAAAAATACTATTGACTTTAGAAGTAAATAGGTACGAAGTTGATAAGAGTATTATTAAAGAGATTTCTTTGAAATATTTTACAAGATTAGAATATAAATTAACAGATGTTATTAAAATAGATTTAATCAAAGAGGAAAAAGCAAATCTTAATGGATCAATTAGGATTTGGAAAGAAACTATTAGTATACATCTTGTTCTAATTAATCTATAAAGGTCAAAAGACGAAATAGACGTATAAAGTTAAGATGTATATATCTAAGTATGTAGTGGAATTATCATAGAACTCATTTTGTGTTATTTTTACAGTTCTAATTTGTCTTTTGTTATTGATAAGTTTCGAAAAGATGGTAACACTTCGATCTAATTCCAGCTGACTAACAATCACAGAAAAACACGGAAATGAAGTTATCCCAATCTTAATTTCTTCTATTTTTGTAGTATATTCAGTTAATTTCATTTCCTTTAGTTATTCCAGAATCAAATATACATCCATCGTTAACATAAATAAAGAATTAAACGAGAATGAATTTAATCTCTTATAATTTTATAAGATATCAATCTATTTGTGAGAGATCACGGCGTGAATGTCAATAGAAATAATTCATTTATTCACACTTTTAAGTGCTTTCACACAAACCCACACAGGGGTGATAATTTTATTGTACTTTAAATAACTTGCCCTTTGAACCTATCAATTTAAAAAAAAAAATTTCTACTTTTTTTCACACTAAAATATTTCCTAGATGAAAAAGGTATGATTCTGTTTATTGTTTAAAACTAGTAAAATTCGATATAATTGACAAGAAGAATCATGGATAAGTTCTCGATATCTAATATAATTTATATTTTTGTCATTGTTCTTTTTGAGTTTTTCATATTATGAATCAATCTTCCTTGATTTTTCTAAGGTATTACTTCATTGTGTTATGCTATTTTTGTTGTGAAAATTACGAAATAAAATCGAAATCGAATCGATAATAGTGACATATCATGTTGCTTTTAAGGAGAATAAGTTTTTAGGTAATTTTTTTTTTCATAAGTTCTTACCTTCTAAAAAAATTTGTACTCCAAGTACACTCCATTTAAAACTAAATGTACCATATTTAAGAATTAGCACTTGGCAGGCCTGTAACCACATCTAATGAAGTTTTTGTTAAAAAATTATTTTGTCACATTTCTTCATTGCAACTACGACAATGAGTATGATTTTAATTTGATAAGTGAGAAAAAAAAATAATGTTTTCTTTTGTTCTTTTGCTGTTGCTAATTTAAATTCATCATGTATAGTATAATCATCATATTGCTTGACTTTATGACATATTGAACATTCAACAAATAGTACATTCTTCTGTGATAATTAAATATTAAACGAGAGAAAGAGTGAGAGCTGAAGAAAATAAAAGAAACTAAATAGTGATGAATACTGTTGAAAGAATTGTGACAAGTTTTTTTTAAAGAGTTAACAAGTAAAATATGTTTCGTATAGCTTTTATTTTAACATTATCTTTTACTATTGATGCAATTTCTATCGGTAAAATAAATAATTATATAATGATTGGTACTATGAACGAATCATTATCGAACATAAATCAAGATCAATGTATATGTGAAATGATAAAATCAAATGAATTAATATCGGCATTAAATTATTTTCCAACAAATCAAACTTGTCAACTATATTTTTCGAATATGAGTTCAATTATAATTGAATATTATTCAAATTCTGTTTTCATATTTATGAATCAATCATTAATATCAATAATTAATAGTAAGTTTATTTGAAAAGAATACCTGTGTCCTGTGAGTCTCCCTTCTCTTTATTCACATAGTTATTTATTTTTTATTTTTGATTAACGATTTATAAAAGCTCTTTACGAAGTTCTGTACTCGTAAAAGAACGATAGTTTTTATTAAAAATTTAATAGAAGGTTTTCATTAGAAGTCAAATACAGGATTTTTGAAAAGTAATATGACTAAAGTCGTTATATATATAATTTTATTAGCTCGTATTATTGTTATTCAAGTATAGTGACAAATTAACATTGTAGCAGACGGAAATTAAGTGTATTACCATGCGTTTATACATAGATATATTTTTAGTAGACGATAAATACAGAACTTCATGTAAAATTTTATCAATCTTGTTGTTTTTTTCAGCAACATTTTGTATGAAATATGAACTAAAAGGAATGTTGAAGTTTATAAGAGTAAAAGTTTAAATCCTTCTCTCATCGACTACAGCGGAAGCTACCTAAAACTCAGTATAAACTATGAAAAACTTCAAAATATCTACTTTTACAGCATTAAGTTTCACATACCTATCTTATGAAGACTTTGCTAATAACTTTTCAATATAGAACCGATCATATCAACATCAAGTACCTCATCAATATCAACCACTTCATCAACTTCATCATCATCATCATCAACTAGCTCATCTACTACTTCGTCAACGTCATCATCAACAACAACAACAGTTACAAATAGTGAGTCATAGATAGGGTGATTTGAAATCCTATATGAAGTTATTCGATTGCGTCCAGGCTAGTTGATTTAATCTAAAAGTAACCTCTTTAAACTTTTGATTAGTTATTATGATATGTTCGTTTATTGAAGGACATTTTTTTATCATTGCATATGATGAATACATTATTCATATAAATTTATTGTATTTATTTTCTGTATATTAATAATTTCTTTTAGTATGGTCAGTAACTGGTACATTAAACGTTGGACGATATCTTCATACATCAACCCTATTAACAAATACGAAAGTATTAGTCAGTGGTGGATTCAACGGAACTATTGCAATAAGCAGTGCCGAATTATACGATGTATCGACTAGTAAGTGGACATTAACTGGCAATTTAAACCAGGCACGATATGATCATCAAGCATCCATATTAACAAATGGAATGGTCTTGATTAGTGGTGGGAACATTGGTAGCAGCACTTGTTTAAATAGTGCTGAGTTATATAATTCATCGACTGGAAATTGGACATTGACTAGTCAAACAATGACATCTTCTCGATGTATGCATACATCAACCGTACTACTAAATGGGAATGTATTACTTGCTGGTGGATATAATGGTTATACTATATTAAATACTGCCGAGTTATATCAACTATCGACTGGAACATGGGCATCCACTAACGCATTAAATGGTGCTCGAGCTAATCATGCAGCATCTTTGTTAACAAATGGGAACGTGTTGGTTAGTGGTGGATATAGTACTGTGATTTTTATTTTGTTCACTAACAACGTTGTATTAAATAGTGCTGAATTATACAATTCGTCGAGTGGATCTTGGACAGTAACTGGAAGCTTAAATGTTGCACGACAGTATCATACAGCATCCGTGCTATTAAATGGTATGGTGTTAGTGAGTGGTGGACAGGATGGGAATAGCAATCCATTAAATAGTGCTGAATTGTATGATCCAACGACTGGAACATGGGCGTTAACTGGTAATATGAGCACTGCACGCATGTATCATACAGCAACGGTATTATTAAGTGGAAATGTATTAATTAGTGGTGGATATGGTTCTAATGGCACATTAAAGACCGCTGAAGTGTATATTGTATCGAACAGAACTTGGACATTTACTAGTAACTTAACTAATCGACGATATCAACATGCAGCATCTCTTTTAATAGATGGAAGAGTATTAGTTAATGGTGGAATCAATTCTGCGGCTATACTAAATACAGAATTATATCATGGGACTTAATTTATCGAATAATAAACATATATATATATATATATATATACTTTAATTACAAATTAATATATTCACCTCGCTTTTTGCTTTTCACTAATCAAGTTTTATGTAATAAGTTTGCAAACTAAAATAAATTCTTACAAATAATTATAAACTAAGAAAAACATTCGATATAAAAATACAATAACAGTGAGAATGGGAATCTGTGTAAATCAGAATGCGTATGTTTGTTGATAAAGATGTGAGTGAGGAGTAATCTTTCGAATTAGTTCTAGAACTGCGGTAAAAATATTAAAAGAAAAGTCTATGATTATTAACTCTTCTTTTTCTTTCGTCGTTTTTGTTTTATATGTCGAATCATAGTTCCTCTCCACCAAGCTTGAATACGTTTTATAGCTTCTTCTTTTTCTTTTTCTTTTTCTAAAAATAATTTCTCATTGATTTTCATTTGATTATATTCATCAACAATAATTTTCATTCTTTCATATTCTTCATACATATCTTGTCTTTGCCGTTTTATTTGATTGAATTCATTTCGAAAATGAATTAATTCTCGTTCAAAACGATATGTTTCATTTTGATAATATTCATACCATTTATTAACATTTTGTTTCATTTCATTATTTTGTTTAAATAAAATATGAATTGTTTCTTTATGAGATATTTCTGTTTGTTTAAGAATTGTCTCATATTGATCAATAGTTTTTTGAGAATTTTCTTCAATATAAGATAACATTTGTATCCATTGTAAAATATGATTTTGTTTCCAATCATTAGAATAGCGTAATGCAATTTTTGAACGATATTTTTCTTCCATTAAATGATCATTTAATTGTGATTTATTAGAATTAATTCTATTTAATTGTTGAGATTTTTCCGTTTGAAAATGTTTTTTAATAAATAATAAATTTCGAATTTTATCTTGAGAAATTTTTATACGATTATTTAATTCAATTAATTGTCGAGAAGGTAGTTGATCATAAATATTAGTAATAGAAGTTTGAAAATTTATTTGAAATTCAAGAAGTAAAGTACGAAATAATAACATAAGAATATGAAAAAAATATTCGATTTCATAATGAAATTTATCATATTCAATCGTACTCAATAGATTTAATGCAAATGATGAACAATCAGAAATATGAGATGAATTGATATTATCTAATTGAAATTGATTATTATTTCGATTAAAACTGGTTATAGATAATGCATTATGAATAATATTTAGTTGATCAAATGCATCCTCAAAAATAATTGCATATTCATATGCACGTATTTTCATTTGATTTGGAGTAAGATGTAACGGAAATAATACGGGTATTTCAGATGATGATATTTGTATATTATCTATGAAAAGATGGATTTAGTTGTAATAATATATTTTTTAGATATTCTAGAAAAACCTGTGTGAAGCGAACTATTAAGTAAATTGTTATTGGCTAATGTTGTTTGATCCGATAAATTATCTTTTATTTTTGTCTGTGAATGATTCAATACTTTACTATTTCTATGCAATGGAATTTCTAAATTAAATATACGTTGATGAAATGCATTTATAATTGCATTCATTTCTCTATAATAAGAATAAAATTATAATCTATCTTAATCTTATTGATAGTTTATAATTACGGCGTATAATCAAACCATTGTGATGTTAATAATGATTCATGTGATTCTGCTGGAAAGTCCATCTTTTTATTGTATGTAATAACAAATATAAAGAATTCAAGCGCCTTCTATATCGTTAGTTAAATTATATAATTTTATCAAATGATTAAATAATGGGGTTAAATATTTAATTGTTTATTTCAACTTGAGTTTTGAATGATACTGTTAAATCTCTTATAATAATATCTCATAATCACAAACCAACTCTTGAAGAAAAATGAATCCCATATTCATCGGTATTTAGTTGTATCTGTGATTATAAAAAAATTGATAGCTTCTATATTTTTTTTTTATAGATTTATTCAAAAGTAATCATCACACCGACGTTTATCCATTTGTTGTCTGTGTCTCTTTGTCTCTCTCGTTTGTGTAAATAGTATGCAAAAAAAAAAAGAAAGCACATAACTGATGTTAATAAATGAAAAAAAAAGTATGTGCGTATGTGTGACAACGAATACAGAAAAAAAAATAGATCATACAAGAACTTAAGGATTTTAAAAAGACAAAAAAAAGAATGTGTATATGTGCGAACAATGAATTATACAGGAACCATAAAATATGTGCATGCATGTATGGATAGATTTTTGTAACAAAAAGAGAAAAGAAAACAAGAAATATACCGCTGATCTCATCATCATCACAGAAAAAGAAAATGTCCGCACATAAGTATTAGTAAATTCGTATATACACAGACGAAGGAAAAGAAAAGGAATAAACAACAACAAGCGCAGAAGACGAAAAACGTAAAGATACGAGCTCAATACGAGAACAAAAATAAATAAATAACGTACAAGAACACGTTACACGTGATAAGGATACATACTAGCACTAGAAAGAGAAATCGAACTCATGGAGACGACAAGCAATCGTAACATAGATCTAGTCTAGAAAACATCGTTTTCTCTTTTCATTTTAAGAACAAAAATATATATATGTGTACGTATATATAGATATAAAGGCATAAGGGAGAGAGAGAGAGAGAAAGAGATCGTAGACAACAAAAAAAGAAAAGAAACGTCACGCGGGCAAAAAAAATGGAGTCATAAGAAAAAAAAAGAGAGAGAGAGAAGCATAGACATGAACAAAATTAGTTTATCCTTTGATTTTTTGTCCTCCAGATGAATTAAATGATCCATTTGGTGTTCCATTAGGTTGTCGACACCCATTTTGTATAGGCATAGGAGCTGCACTTTTTGTTGTTGGTGGTGATGGTTCAATAGGTGTAGTATTATTATTATCATCTATTGTTGGAAAACAATCACGACATACTCGTACAGGATTTGAACTTAATGTTGGAATTAATTTATAACAATTCGCACAATTACTACAGAATATATTGCCGCATTCTAAATAGAATAAAATAAAGTACATGTAGTTATTATCTTAATCTTAAAAGAAAACATACTTCGACAATGATGTTTACGTGAAAAAGGCCATTGTTGAAATTTTGTATGACATGAATGACATGTATGAACATTAAAATCTGGCATCCAACGAGTCACAGCTCCTTCACTATTATCAATTTTTTGCCACGAAGCACATGATGATGTTTCAACACTATTTATATTACTTTGTGATATTGCATCCATACGTGGAGATGTATTCTAATAGACAAAAAATAAATTTATTTAATAGAAAGAAAAATTAAATAAATTAAAAAAATAATTTTACATGATGATTATTATTGTTATTAGGATTATTATTATTATTGAATTTAATTAATGTATGTACGAATTTTTGCATACGTCGCATATGTTCATGAAGACTTTCAATTTGTTGGACATAGGCTCGTTCTTTTTCAAGCATTCTTGAAGTAATTTGATCAGGAATTTTTGTTAAACCATCAACATCAATACGTTTTCGTACAGATTTTATTGTTTTACTTGATGATGTGGAAAGTGTTTGTTGTGTCTAAAGAAAAATAAAGTTTTTGTTTATTTTTTTATTTCAAAAAATAAAAACGAACATGTCGTTGTGTTTGATTAGATTCATGTGAATTAATTCTTGTTAATGACCATGCTTCAGATAAACTTGAACCAGTACTTGATGTTGAATTTGTATGTTTTCTTGGACGTGACATTGTTCGTAAGATATTATCAACACTATTAACATTTAATGGAAAACGTTGAAATGATAATGCTAATTGTGTTATATCTGGTGCTGAATCATCTGTTGCAATACTTTGTCGTTTTATTTGATTATCTAGATCATCATGTGAATTATTATTTGCGAGAGTTATAGTTGATGGAGGAGTTATATGTGTATTATTTGGTGATGTTGGAGTTGATAGACCATTAACAGGATTATTTGTCACATTATTATTACTACCATTATGTGTACCAAGATGATGTGGTGGACCAAATAAACTATTTGTTGATGTAGAATTTTGTAGACGATTTGATTGCATTGAATTTGTTAAAGAATTGTTATTTGCATTTGTATTTCCAGTGCGAATTGTAATAGAAGATGATTCAAGACTCACTGAACCACTTAAACTTGGATCAGATGTTGAGCGATGTAAACCATTTGTTAATGATAAATCTTCATAGGAACGTAAATGACCAGGTATTAACGATGACGATGATGATGGATGTTCAGATGAGCCAGCAGGAGTATATCGAGCATCACATAAATATAAATTAGACCATATACGTAAATCACGAACAGAATATGACGGATAAAGAATCTATAAAAATAGAATAAAATTTTATTTAGATTTATCTGCGTCATATAAGTTTTTTTTCCTTACCTCTTTTCTTGTTTCGTCAAACAAGTGATTAATAAATTGTGTTGATTTGATATTCAATAAACTCCACACACTCAATGTTCGTGTTCCTAAATCAGCTGTTGTACGTTCAAAATCTGTGTTACATAAAAATGTTCCATGTAAACAAGTGTATGTATGTGTTGCTAATTTAAGCTAAAATATAAATTCATATAGGATAACAAAATATAAGAAGTAGAAATCTTTACGTACAAGAAACATTTCATTAAATTCAAATGCAATTGGATTTTGTATAAATAATTGATATATACAATCAAGCCATTGAAGAAATACAGGACTACGTTCATTTGGATCATTGGCACCAACGCCATGACCACAACGATCACCAAATTTATGTCCAAATGCAATCCATTCACGTTGTACTAAGATTTGAAAACCTTCAATTGTTCGATAATATGAATCAAGCATTATTTCAGCTAATGTAGTTATTTGAGGTGTACGATCCCATCCATCTGAACAGTGAACAAGTACAGGACGACTATGTTTATCAACATTAGCAACAACGAATGATGCAGCACCAATTAATGCTGATAAGTTATGTAACCATCGGGTTGATTCTAATTGTGAGAGCCAACTAGACAAAAAAAATATATTTTTTCAAATTAAAATATTTCATATTTAACTTACTTTTCACCTTGTGCAGCATTGGCAATAGCAAGACGTAACATCTGAGCACTTTTACGAATAGCGTGAATATTTGGTAGATTCATGAATTGTACATCACAATCTGTATAATATGGTGGATATTCAAAACCACCACCTTTAGCACGATTTGCAATTGCTGCTGCATAACTTCGAGCATCAAGAATTAATAAACGATTTGAACCCGTAGTTTCACCTTTAAAATATAAAGTTAAAAGAAAAAATTTAATAATTTATTTTTTTTCAGTAATATTTACGAGGAGTAGAATCTGCTGTTGAACTATTACATGCGTGAATAATTGCTTGAATCATTTTTTCATCTTCTTTCGAACGCCAAAATAGCCAACCAACTTCAGGTTGACTAGTACGAGCAATAACTGCACCATTATGATGTCTAAAGAGAAAAATGCAAATAGACTCTATGAAAAAAAAATACTAAAAAGATCCGATTGACTTTATATCAGACAAGAAATAGTTATTAATAATATATAATCTTTTTCTTCTTAGGATTAATATTTTAGAATCATTTGAGAATATATATATGTTCTCATGTATAAAAACGATCAAAATTTATATTTTACCTCCAAACAATTGTTGGAAATCTTCTATATGATCTAAATTTTGCAACTTCAGTAAGTTCTTCATCTGATATAGACGATGGTACAACACAAGATTCTGGATAACTTGTACATAATTTATGATTACGATTAATTCTTGTTGAACGCCATGGATCTGTATCTAATTGTAGACGTGTTAATTCATCATTAAAACGATCTTGTAATGAACGTTCTTGATTTGGTATAGCTAAAGCAAATTTTATTGCAAATAAATCTTCTAAACATGTTGGAATTGATATTGATTCAGTTAATTTTCTTAACCAATAACCACATTTATCTGTTGTACAAAATGTTAAACGAAATGATCGAATATCTTTACATTGAATATATAAATAAATATTATCTTTCATTTCAATAACATCAATTAAACGTATTGGACAATTTATAAATGAACAACATGATTCATTTGAAAATATAAATAGACGATATGTTGTTAAATAAAGTATTCCATCAGTTATTAAATCAATTCCAAATTCAAGACATTCTTCACCAGCTAACAAATCAAATGGTAAATCATTTGGATTTATTAAAGATTTAGTCAATTTTTCAATTGGTAATTCATTTGGTATTGTTGGTAAAGATTGTAATGGTGATAATGCACTACAAAATGATGCTGGACTTGGATCGATTGACATATTATTTGGAACTTCACATACATGCATATCTCCTTCTTCTTCAGCAATAGTCACCGGTGTTGGAATTCCGACAACCATTTTAGTTTGTTCTTGAGTTTTTTTTTTATTATATTGATTGAAGTTGTAGTTTGAAATTAATTTTTCAAAAACATCTAGAAAATAATCGTAATAAAGCCTTCAAATACCATATGATGTTTTAATAATGAGTCATGTCTAGACAATCATCTTCTTGTTTGAAACTTACATTGTAATATTTACATTACTTACATAGTTTGTTTTAAACGTTAATATCATTTCCGTTAACGGATTTCAATTGTAAACGGAAGTAAAAAAAAGTTTAAATTGAAAGTATTGAGTTCTTTCTAGATTAGTCGACGATAAAAATATAACGATGAAATAAAAACAATCTTTTTTTGTCTTGGGAAGAGGTGTGAGGGGGATGGGTTAAGAAGAATCGTTAGATAAATGAGTCATTTGCTCATTGTGTCGATTTATTAGGTCCAATTATATAAAGGTAACTAAGAAAGAAAGATATTTTTAAAAATAATTAATTTAAACATAAATTTAGTATTACTTTATTGTTTTACTTAAAATTGTGTTATAGAAGAAAATATTATTGGTGACATCTATGTGTTATCAATCAGTTGATAACCAATCACGAGTTATGATATAAGACAGCTGATTAAAACGAAGAAAAGAGAACGAACGGAATAGACATCAGAGGTCAGACATTATGCGATGAATCTTTTTAATTCTTACAGAACAAATATGAAACAATGAGAAAGATAATAAGATAACTTGTTATTGTTATTTTATGATGATATAATATGATATATGCAGAATCGTTAAAAAAAACTAAAAATAACAATATTAATCATGAAAGCTGTCGAGTGTTAAAAAATAGGAAAAATTCCCAACGGGTGTTACTTTGTTCTTTTGAACAATACATAAAAGACATTCTTTGTTTATTATAAATAAATATATATATTGAAAATTTCGGGTATTAATACAAACTTAGATTTACTCAGTGCCTACAGGGCATGTCGGTAAAGTAAAATTGATTCAATCATTGAATTTGAATATTATCTAATGTAATCGTACAAATAGTGTAGTCGAGTGTTATGAAGTTTTATTGTATTCACATTGCTTTTTCATTGAGTAAGATTCTATTTAGAGCGAGTGAGCGCTCAATATTGTACTACGTAATAAGTCATTTTTTTTACGGGCTATTCCTATAAGTTGTTTTTTATGTTGTGAAATTGTTTCTTTAAGAGAACTAACAATTCGAAAAGTTTTATCTAAGGACAATTAACTTACAATTTGTTTTAGTAAACTTTTGTTAATCATCCATTTTGAATTCTTCTAAAACTAACATATATATTTGGAAAAAAAGTAGAAAAATTTTATGCGAAGTTTTTTTAGTATAATTTTGTACTCCACTATTCATAATTTCTTACATTTTTAATACTTAAACTACCAATTTAACTTTTATTTATCTTAAATGATTGATTGTATCTAAAGTAAACTTGATTAGACATAAACAGATATTTTATACTAATAGACTAGCTATCAGTTCATTTGCCTTATTCATGCTTTTTTTGTTTTATAATTAAAACTAGTAGTTTGAAATCTTATGTATACCTTATTGATATTATTGAGAGATCATATGATAACAGTATGGTTATAGCTAAAAATACTATTTAATATCACATAGACATAAATATGTAATGATAGTCAATATAGATGTTTCTTTTTGATAAAGTAATAATAGAAAATATTAGAAAAAAACCCTGTAGGATTGTCGAGCAAACAGTACTATATAGAATAAAATGTTTATATAAAACTGTTTGTTCTATATTTGTTGAGGAGAAGAAGGAGAAGATTCAAGAGATGAACTCATTTATTTTTATAGAAATCCTTTCTGAATAATTACTTTCAGATATAAACATTGTCTCGTAGTTCATTTGATCTCGAATCTAATTATTTTTATGAAATAACAGATAGATACATTGGATTCTTCCGGTTCTAATAATCACGAGGATCATGGTTTTGGCCGATGAAAATGCAGTGGTTTAAATCGTAATAACAAAACATTCATCGTATGTGTTAATTGAGTTATACATGTAGATCAAATTCTTTATTTCTTGATCGAATATACTAATCATTCATTAAAATCAAGTGATTCAATTATCTGTCCTTCGCATTGATTTAATGTCTCATATTCAACAACAAACACATACACAAGTAGTTGATTATGGAAACTGAAAGAAATAAAATTTTTATTGTATTATTGAGTCGCTCTACTTTATATCATATTGGTTACAATTTGCTTTAGGATATGACTAGCAATTATTTTCAATTAGATAAATATTTATCTGATGATGGTATGAAAACAAACTTTGAATGACTTCAAATGTGAACAATTTTATTCGAACGTATATTTAATTGTCAAAGAGAAGAAAAACATATTGTATATATATATTAGTTCGAAAATGGGTATTTTTTTCTAAACAAATCTTTACTTTTATTCAGCTTAGATTATCAGATACAGTTTATGTAGATGTTTTTTATGAATAAATATATAGAATCTGAATCTTATTTTACAAATATTAAGAATTATTAATTATTTATCATCCATGTGCAGAAAGTTCGACTAGTTGTTTTACTAAACGAATTGGAATATATATTTCTTGATTGAATGATGCCAATCAAATAATACACTCTATTTCTAAACTTATGAAAGTTTTATTTTTTATCTAAACTTAAGGAAATAAAAGGTGGTTGAAGAATTAGATCACCACCAGATGATTTTCGCTTATTAGATATAATTCTTTCGTAGAAACACGTTTATTTAGATTAACATGTCGTTGAACAAGAAGATTCATATGATGATGATCATCATTCTTTAAATATACATTGTGCTCATCTATAAAGAATGTGCAAACAACAATCAATTAAGAGCAACTCTTGAGGGTGTGGATGTTGATGCTAGTATTGTCTTTATACAACACCCATACCAACCCATCCTCAAAATTATTGATAGACTAGTGATACAGAACAAGATAAGCACTTAATAAACTATAGGAACTAATCAGATATTTCACCTGATACTAATTTATCAAAAACAGTTCCAACCATTGATGAAATTAACATCAAAGAAATGGCTTTAACTTTACTTTGCTAGTTAAGAAGTGTGACGAAATATCATTCATTAATAACATTGAAACTTGTTTTATTAACTGCTTAGGTCACTCAACTGATAACAAAGATTATGAAGAAATATATACTGATGACATATAATTTAACACCAGTTCAATTGCAATATGCTAGTAAAATAAGACTAGCTTCTAAAAACTTTTGAATCAATGCAAAACAGCTAATTAATAAATATAAACTTCAAATGAAACGAATTGCAAAAATATTAAAATATCTCTCGAACAACAAATCAATACATATCACAAGACCGGATAAAGGACGCGGAGTAGTGATAACGAACAAACACGATTACAGTAAATCAAATAAAATGTTGAAAATCGTCGAAGTAGATCAGATAATCTCACAAGAATATGATTTAATTAAAAGATTAACGCAATTAAAATACGAAGGTTTTGTAACAGAAAAGGAATATATTTTTTATCGACCACGAAGCCCTCAACTAGCTAGCATATATATTGTACCAAAAATTCGCAAAAACGAACCTCCACGCAGAACCATTGTATTAGTATCTGGTGCCTTTAACTATAATTATAAATTAGCAAAATTATTATTCGAAAACCTTGATCACCTACACAAAGCGACACAATAATAATTTATATACTTTCGATTTTGTTGACGAATTACACTCACTAAAAACCGAATAAATCTCAAGCAAAAATGATTTCGTCTGATATAACTCGTCTCTTCATCAAGACTCATTTAGACCGCGTTGTTATAGTCGTTCTTGGTAAAATTTATCGGACAAACATACATGTGCTTCTGGTAGTAAGGTAGATTCATTGGCGTAGTGACTGTAAAAATAGATTTAAACTGAATTATTTTCAAAAAACTTCAACAAAATATACGAATTATATCTTCACTAACAAATCGATAGAATCTTCTACGAGAATACTGTTCACTGATACTTATGTAAATTAACGACAAAACTAACTGATGTTAAACTTCGAAGGAATAGTATTTTATTCTAAAGGAGATTTGTGAAGAACAAGCTAATAGTTACCTACCTTACCTTCATAGAACAAATTGCACAATTCCTGATTGACAACATCAATAACTTCAAATATATTTACTACGACTCTACGTAGAAAATCCACTTCCACTGGACTAATAACAAAATGGAACTCAGTGTTGGTTGTGATGCATCCTTTATGGGGAAAACCGGGAATTATGGAAAATTATTGTCGATCACTTCTCCAAAACAATGGAAGATTATTTGACTTAATAAAAGTTCAATTTATGATAGCGTAATTGATAAACCAGATTATTTCATCGGATAATTTTAAAACAATATGAAATTAATAACAAACATAAAATTAATTGGATGAACCGAAATATAATTGCGAACGACAATAGAGATTATCTAATATCATCTAGAGAATCGTTGGCCATAACTTATCATCAGTCTAACTGAAGTAAAACTGTTTCTTTTCTGTACCACTAATTATATATCCTGAAGGACTAGAAACAAGAAGATTTCTGGTTAACAAAAAGTCAACAATAAATCCATCACAAATAGTAAATACTGACCAGACTCAAAGAAGAGGTATTTGCCGAGTTTTCAGTTGTTGGAATAACAGATTACTTCATTTCGTTTTCTATTCTTGTTTTCTATAATGACTAATTAAAATCTACACGTTAGTTTTCGAAACGTTGTTCAAGTTTTCTTTGAATATTATTGTTGTAAATTAGTTAAAATTTAAATAATGTATTAATTTGATATTAATAATAAATTAAAGTTATGATGAAATTTATAGCTCCTGTAAATGCAATAGAATTGAAAGCTTTGTAAACATTTATAATGTCACATTACTGTAAAAATCAATTGTTATCTATATATATTGTTAACGATTAAATCAACTGACTCATAAATAGTCATAACGAGAAAAACAAAGATACTGATGAATAGCAGGCTAAGAACAAAAAATGAAGGTTGGAAATCTTTAGCAGTCAATGAAAAGGACATAAAATTAAAATTAAAAACTTGTTAGATAGTGATACTCTTGAAGTCTTTGACAGTTTTCATTGAAAATATAAAAGACAGAAAAATCTAAAAAGCAGAAAATAATCCAAAAAGCAGAGACGACAGAAGAAATACCTTCAAAAAAGCAGAAACGGTGGTAACAACACTGAGTGCACATAGTCACTTTCAAAAAAAACGAAGATTTTTTTAATAAATCATGCCAATACGAATAATGTTTGAAAATAAATTAAGAAAAGAAAAAAAGAAACATATTTTATTATTTTTTATTTATCAAAACAAGATTGAAATGAATATCATAAATACGTATTTGAGGAGAGACCAAAAAGAAAAATTAAATGAATTTCACAGAAATATATTTCAATAACGCAAGGTCTTCCGAATGTTTGCTTCTATGTCAAGCGATTGTGATATTGTTCATATATGATTTCTCGAGACATTAAATTATCTTAAAATAATGTGAATATCTAAGATATCAATATATGATGAAGTGATACGAATTTTTGAATATGTTAAGCATATGATGAGATAATATTGAAGATGCTATAAAACGAATTTTTTCCGATGTTTTAGTAAATGATGTTTATACCTAATGAATTTCTGAGAAATAGTACTTATTTAAAGAAAAAAAATAAACACATGAAAATTAAAATCCAATTGTATATATTCTCTTTCCTCTTCTGGAAATAATATGATCGTTTTGTCATCTGATAATATCGAACAAAAAGACACAGATAAAATATGTTTTCATATCCAATTACATTGTGCAAACTTTGTTTTCATTTTATTTTATTTTTTTATATTTCATATATTTGAAAATGCATAACTGTTTAATTGAGTTATTTTTCAAAAAAAATATAAGAGTACTCTAGTGACTACTTATACCACTACCTGCGAGCAAGGTTAAATAAGCAGCGATTGGATCAGACGACTACAAATACTCAATCGGTAAGAATAATAAAGATTTTCATGAGTAGTTCTGCTAAGGCACTAAGTGCACATATCCACTTCCGAAAAAAAACAAAGATTTATCTGAAAATGAATTTCAAATAAAAAGTTTAAAATCTCTTTAGATTATTTTTTGTAATATATATCTAATAATAAAATAATGTCTTCTATTATTCATAATAATTCGAATAGTCCAAGGTAAATGAAATTCTTTAAATTGAATTTAATATTGTTTTTAAAGAATTATTTAGATCTGATACATCGAAATATAATATTCATATCGTTGTTGATAATTCCAATCTTTTTATTGGTGCTCAAGTAGGACAAGGTGAAGATGGAAAACTAAACGCTGCTATTCGTATTAGTATTGCAAATCTAGTTAATGTTATTGAAGAAAATATAGAAGTAGATAATATTAAAACAAGAATTGTCGGTGGTAGTGTTCCATCACGTAATGCACGTGTTTGGGCTGAATGGGAAAGATGTGGATATGAATGTTTACTTGGTGAAAGAAGTATTAGTAATAAAGTATGACAATTATTTATTTATTTACTATTTATCTAAGATTTCCTCAACCTGAATCTTCTATTGATCATATTGATATTTTGCTTGGAGAATTTAACACCTAATATTCTTCTTGATCGAACAAAACTAATTGAATTTATGAGAGCTAATAAAATAATCTAAAATGTAACAAAAGATCATTGAGAAGTAATTTTCTGATGAAATAATATTTGAGAATTTAAAATAATTTAATATTATTATTTATTAAATTTTAGGAAGTATTCGTAGATGATATGCTACATTCACAAATTCAAAATTTAATTTTAAAAAACAAATCTTCTGAAGATTGCAAACAACATTTGATATTAATCACTGGAGACGGAGGGAAAAATGGTAAACGGACGAATTTTCCTAATATTATATCATTAGCATTAAATAATAAATGGACTGTAGATTTATGGTCATGGAAAGCATCATTAAGTCGTGAATTTGCTAATATTCAAAAAAGACATTCACCGAATATGAAAATTAATTATCTTGATACTTACAGAACAGAAATAACTTTTCAAGAAAAACAAAAACAAGAACAACAAGATCGAGAACAAGAACAACAGAATCAACAAGAACAAGACCAACAAGATCAAGAACAAGATCAACAAGGTCAAGAACAAGAACAACAAAATCAACAAGAACAAGAACATGAACAACAAAATCAGCAAGAACAAGATCAAAAAATCAAGAAAAAGAAAAAGAAAAACAAGATCAAGATCAACAAGAACGACAGCAACAAAAACAACAAAATGATTTATATATATATATTATGGCTTATTCTTCCTCTAGTAATTTTAATATGTTCAGTTATTTTTATTGTTTTTTTTAAAGAAGACTAATAAAATAAATTTTATTTTAGTTTCTTACTTATCGCAGTCAAATAAATAATAAAACTATTCTTATCAAAAGAATATTAAAATTTTAATGAAAAATAACATACGCCAAATATACTCAAATTGTTTGTTTAATATAAAAGGTACTGTTTGTCTGTCATTCTATGACTTTTCAACAGATTAAATCATATTTAGGATCATATATTAAAAAAATTTACTTTATTATTTGAATAAATTTTTTTAATTGATCTAAAGAAAAACTCATTTATATTTCAAAAGATAATTCACATATAGAGAAATGGTAAAATATATCAATTTGAAAATTTAATAAAGCTATGCCAATTTTTTTTTTCATACATTTAATTTAATGATTTGTTACTCATATTATATCATTTTATATCTTATAGTGTTGTCTGTCAAACACCTAAACATGGTGATTAAACAATGAGAAACCATTGCAAAACATCTCTCACCCGATACCCTTCTTTGTTACAACAAACAAAACAAAGAATAATAGATTTCTGTTTGTCTAATATCTGTATTAACAGCTCAATTAGAAATTGATAAATCAATTTTTTTTAAAGGATTTGAAGGTTTTCATATAAGATCGTCCTCTTAAGAACTTCATATAATATTGTATAGCGTCATAATACTCAACAATTTCTTTAATGATAATTTCTCAGGAAAGTCTAGTTTCTCACCACTCAACAAACTTATTTTAAGATACATTGGTTCAACGACATATAATTTTGTAGAGAAGATTATTTTTTCCTAGTTCAAGATCGGTTTACTACGTATTTTAAGAGCTATACTATCACGTGAAGTAAACATTTATAAGTTGACTGGTTTCAAAATCTTCCACGGTAATGACAGAAAAACACTGGAGCTGTTTGTTTCATCCAGACGAATAGATCTATTTCAAAATATATTTACTCAATACTAAGAGCTAAAATTCTAAAGTTTATATAGTAATTATCTCTATTTAATTACAGTTACTGCTGATAGTAATACTCAAAAAGATTAGTTCATTTTATAGGTGATATGAACAAGGGTGGGTGTAGGTGTGGGGTAAGTGTGGGTGTGGGTGTGGGTGTGGATGATTTTATCTTTTTCAATCACACCCACACCCTCGGTATTAGTCAAGGTCTTGGACAATTTATCAGTTTTTCAGCTATTACATTAACATTTTAGTATGGTTTGAAATTAACACGAACTGAACGTCATCATTATACACCTGGAACATTATTCATGGTAAGTTTATTAATATCAAAATCGCTTTTATAGATTTTTTTTTCAAATAATTTAGGTATTCGGCTCATGTGCAGTACGTTGATTTTCTTTCTTTTGAATAAAATAAATAAGTAAATGAAATACTTTATTAAATAGAATATATTATCTTTAACAACACAATATATCCCATACTTTCATACGTTTACAGAAGCATTAGCTACTGGAAGTTTTGTATTTGATATGATCCAACGAGTAAATCACAGATCATGTTCTTGTATAACAAATATTGTATTGATCTATTTATTAGAAGTCAAAAATTAATGTTTCGGATGACGAAGGTAAGAAACTAGAAACAATCCAGGGTGATATCGAATTTAAAGATGCAACATTTAGTTATCCTACACGGCAAGAATCTTATGTATGACTAGTTCTTCTCATTATAATAGTTTAACTCTTTTTTTATATTTAAGATTTTACAAAATTTCTCAATGAAAATACCATCTGGTAAAACGGTTGCTTTAGTTGGAGCATCCGGTTGTAGCAGTAAGTACTCGTGGATTTTCTCCAATAAAAATGTTCTATTTATATAATTAGAAAGTACTATTATTCAACTGATACAACGTTTCTATGATACAGGCAATGGTCAAATATTGTTTGATGGACATGATATAAAAACATTCAATGTACCTTGGCTTCGTTCACATATTGGAATTGTTAGTCAAGAACCGGTTCTATTTGATGGATCAATTGAAGAGAATATTCGGCTAGGAAAATTAGATGCAACAGATGAGGAAGTTATTGCTGCAGCTAAATTAGCTAATGCACATAATTTCATTATGGATTTTCCTGAGGTTAGTATCAAATGAAGTTTTTTATATTTCTTCTCATTTATATGAATTATCTTTAGAATTATAAGATAATATCAGGTGATAAATTAAGTGGTGGTGAAAAACAACGAGGTTTGAATCTCTTTAACTAATAATATAAAGTTTCTTGCTTTCTTTGGATTATTTATTAGTTGTTATTGCTCGTGCACTCATTTCGAATCCAAAAATCTTGTTGTTAGACGAAGCAACCAGTGCATTAGGTAGAATATATTTGTACATCTTTAGTTAACGAGATATTTCATATATATATATATATATATGTAAATAGATTATACAAGTGAACGAATTGTACAAGATGCATTAGATAATGCAAAACAAGGTCGAACAACAATTGTTATTGCACATCGTCTAAGTACTATTCGAAACGCAGACATAATTATTGGATTGAATAACGGACAAATAGTTGAGCATGGAACACATGATGAACTAATGGAAAACAAAGGACTTTATTATGGATTAGTGAATAAACAAGGTGTAGATGGACAATATGAATCGTCATCTGAGACAGATACAAAAGAAGAAGCTAAAATAAAACAATCATACACTCGAAGATTATCCAGTGAGTTGTTTTATATAGTTTTGAAAATATGTTTATATATTATTTTAGCTATTCGTAAAAAGATCAGAGAATTGAGCGATTCCATAGAAGAGAAAGAAATTGATGATACTGCAACATCATCGTTCGATGATTCTGCGGAGAAAAAACAAAAAAAAAGTTTATTTCATTGTTTATGTTTCGAATATTAAAATTCAACTTACCAAAATGGCATTGGATCTTAATTGGTAGTATAGCATCCCTTCTTTTTGGTGCTATTCAACCAACGTTTGCATATTTATATTCGGGAATTTATGGTGCATTTACTGAATCAAATGAGAATAAACAGAAACGATTAATGAACATGTTTACGCTTGGTATTTTCTTTGCGGGTGTTGTTGGTGCACTTTGTCAATTTATTTTCAATTTTGCATTTGGAAAATCTGGTGAAGAACTTACAGCACGTATGCGTAGATTAACATTTTCATCTTTACTTTGACAAGAAATAAGTTATTATGAAATGAAAGAAAATTCTATTAATGTTCTAAGTACACGTCTGGCATCAGACGCAGCAGCTATTAAGGTGTATTCAAATAGTATAATAGAGATCTTTGTTCTATAATTAATCAATAATAAATATTATAGGGATCAACAGGAATTCGTATCGGTATTCTTATGCAAGGATTCAGTGCGTTAGTAGTGTGCTTTATTATAGGATTTATTTCTGGTTGGAAATTAACATTAGTTCTATCATGTTTCATACCCATACTGTTCTTTTCAAACAAACTAAAAGGGCAGAGACAAGGTAATATAGGCAAAACGTAAGATAAAGATTTATATTCTGAACAAGGTGGGAAGGTAAATAGACGTAAAGAGAAACTACTATATTTATATTGACTTCTTCTTTATATATTTTATTTAGTGTGCTTTTGAAACTATAAAAAATATTCGAACTGTAATCGCTCTCCATCAAGAAATTATTTTATCAACATTTATGAACAATTTTTTGATCAAGAATTCAAGTATGAAAGTATTGATTTTCGTATTACATCTGAATAATTAAATATTTATTTAGAAAAAATATGTGTCGTTTACATATAAGAGCATTGGGTGCAGCTGTTGCTAGTTCTGTGATCTTCTTTATCTTTGCTGTTACTTTTTCGTATGGTAGTATACTTGTTCAAAACGGGGAAATGACTTTTCAAAATGTATTTAGGTATGAAATTTAGAAAGTAAAAAATTGAATTTTAAAATCATAATTAAAATATTTTAAGAATCTCTGTAGTTATCCTGAATGCAGTAATAAAAATTGGCAAGCAACAGGGAAGAACGCAGCTTATTCTAAAGCGAGACATGCTCCAATGCGAATTCTAAAACTAATCAAACGTACATCACAAATTGATCCTTATGATGATTCAGGCATTATTTTAGTAAATATTTTCTCTTTACATATAATGGTATATACATATTGAAATAATTTGTAGGATAATATCACAGGTCAAATCGAATATCAAAATGTCTATTTTCGATATTCATCAAGACGAGATGTTCAGACACTTAAAAATTTTTCATTAACATGTATGAACAATAGTTCTACAGCTCTTGTTGGACCATCAGGAAGTGGAAAATCAACAACTATTGATTTATTACAACGATTCTATGATCCATTAGAAGGAAAAATTCTTTTTGATGGTTATGATATTCGTACACTTAACATTAAATGGTTTCGTTCATTAATGGGTCTTGTTCAACAAGAACCAGTTCTATTCAATATTTCAATACGTGATAAT